AATTAAATTAATTAAGAGAGTATAATTTACTCATATCGGTTATAGGTAATGAATATTTTTTATTCAAATAAAATTATATTTTATGACAAATATTAATAGTGTTTGATTTCATCAAAACAGATAAAAGAAATTTTTTTTTATTATAAATTATCATATTTGTTTCAAGATTTTAAGTTATACTCGTAGGTCTTTAAGTTTTCAACAAAGTTTATTTAACATTATTTTTTTATCCTACACAATTTTTTTCTAATTTATGTAAGAAAATAACATTATACTCTTCTGGATAAGACAAATTCTATTAATTTTTATATAATTATATGAATAATGAAGGAAAAGTAAAGTAGTATGAAAATATAAAAGATATCAAGTAAATCTAATTTGCTCTAATTTTAAAGAGAGTAAGAGGAGGGTAAAATCCGAGCTTACTCAAATTTATCTTAAAATTAGTGAGATTTAAAGGACATAGAAACTTTTGAAAATAATTACATAAAATAATTATAAAATTAAATTAAATAATTATTAATTCAATTATTTTATTTACCTAAATAATTAATAGAGAATTATTCCGTTTTAATCTGTAATTTTGAGTTTAAATTTAAATTAATGTTATGTTAAATGCTTAAAAAAAAGTTTTTCGTTAATAATAATTTCATTTATTTTTTAATTTTTTACTTGTGGTCTAGGTGGATTATTAATAAAATCACTTATTTGTGATTTATTGAGTAGATTATAGTTAAATTAATAGCAAATATATATTTTAACATCATATATAATATTAATATAAAAATTTAATTACTAAAATTATTATAAGATATCATGTTATATATTTTATAATAAGAGAATCTTATATTAATGGATAAGTTGATAAGACGCTAATCAATAATAACTATTGATAAGTGAAGTTTATACGTTATCCTTTTAAAATTAGCTCTTTATTTTGTCAAAAATAAAAAAATAGTAAATAATTTTTTAAAATATTATTTAATATTAAATAAAAAATGTTAAGGATTAAGATTATTTATATTAATATATTTTTTATTCTATAAAAATTAAACTATTATTATAAACTTTGAATTGGTTTTAACAATATGATAATATTAACATTTAATATAATAATAACAATAGATATCAATCTTCTATAACAACGGAACTCTATCAATATGATATATTATATTATAGATTTACAATGTTTATATTAATATTTTAATTTTATTAGATAATTAAAAATTGCACCGACAGAAAACTAATTCAAGCCAAAATGTAAATAAAATTTAATTTTACCGGTTTAGATAAATTTGACGATCGTTTGTTAATTAACGGTTTTGAAATTAGTTGGCATTTTGGATTAAAGGAACCGAACACTAGACCGATTCACCGTCTTTTCCTATTGTCGGCCAGTTTGGTCTTCTTTTTTATTTGACTTATTATGTGTTCTTTTAATTTTTTAGTTTTAATTATTTATATTAATTTTTTTAAAATAATTTTTTAAATTAAATTTTTATTCTATTTTTTCAATAAGTAAAATAATTAAAATAAAGACACTACATATTATTGATTTATATAAATTAATAAAAATATATAAAACATTTAAATAAAATATGTAAAACATAATAAAATACTTTTATTTTTATTTAATTATTTTATATATTTTCAATTGTGATATTTTTGCCAAATATAGCTTCATCAAAGAAAAATGAAGGAAAAGAGCTATGAAGGTTTTCAGACAAACTGATTATTTCATTTGGTAAAATTTGGAGTGGCAATTATTATATATCATTAAGATTCGTTCAAATATTCAAAGCGAGTTTCATTATTTCCATTATAAAAGAACCCTTTGCTGCCATCTTTGCTTCACTGTCAGTCTGCATGTCACAGGTGACACCATCTTCTACTACTATATATATGTACTTCTATTAATATATAACGTCAATTATTTTTAACAAAATAATTAAACTATTAATATCCATAATTAAATATATTATATTAATAATAAAATATATGGTGATGTTATGCATTAATTTTCTATATTAATAATGTTATTTACTAATATAATATATTATACTAAAAGTTATTGAAATAAATTTTAAAGAAACTTATAAAATTTATTAACTAGTTTAATAAATTCTCCGTAGATTCTTTTAAACAAACATGCCCTACTACTAATCATGTATTCCCACGACAAGGTTAATTATGAACCCATTTTATTTGAACATGCATGTCCATAGGCAGTATGTAACGGGGATCTGTTTGAATGGTGTTGGATATTACTTAGTTATGAAGTTTACTAGACTTTTATAAATGATTTTGTATTATATATATATATAACTTATATCTAACCACTAGTAATAAATTATAACCTATTAAATATAAGTTAAATAAAAAATTTATATTGCTTGAAATTTTGTTAAAATTATTATTTTCAACGTGTTATCTGACAATTTGAGAACGATTGATCGATCATTAATGACAGCATATTGCTAACGCTGTCAATGAAACATGTTTCCAACAAAATTGACGGTTGTTGTCATTGAAAGTCATATTTAATCCTCACTATTGTTGTCATATTTAAGGTGTGAATTAAGATTTTATTAAATTTTTTAAGGATTTCACCTCTTCCACGATGTAGAATTTTGGGTTACAAACATGAATAATATGTCATTCTTAGTCCACTTAAGATCTAGTGCTTGTGAATTGGCCACCAACACAAAGGCACAAATATGGGGTTATCTTGTGAATATGTGTAAATATTTCTTAAGGATTGTGTGTTGATCATAAGTATATTGACAAATATTTTTATTGTAAAATATATGATTAAATTATAAATTAATTTACAATAGATGAAAAACTTTTATCATAAAATTAATAACTTCATTATATTTTATTTATTTGTAACTTTTGATATTTTAATTATTTTTTATATTTTTGTCGTAGATGTTCATTAAAACACTTACATCATACACGTGCCATTTACAATAAAAAGTTGTAGGAATAACACGTCTTAATTATGAAATGGCACAATAATGCCATTTCACTCATCATATTATAATATTTAAAAAATAATAATTCTTTTTAAATTAAAAAAAAAACATTTCTCTAATTAAAGCTATAATTGTGTCAAGAACAATATATTCCATAATTTATCACACTATGACATTTACAATGAGAGCTAATTAAAATTAAATTCTAACAATGTTTTGTCATCTATTTATGTAAAGTAAATTATCTCAACAAGAAAAAAAATCAGACATGCATTAATACCATATAGAAATATATTTCAAATTCTCTTGAGCAAATGTTATTGAATTCTTTCCATCCTCTTTTTTTCTCACATAAAATTTAGTAATATTTACATAAAAATAAACAAACTACATTAATAATACATATTAAAATCAGATATATGATTCTGAGCAAATTATGTCACGATCGCTATTTTGTAGTAACTTTTGTCACTACATAACCATTCTTATATCATTGAAAACATCACACACAAACAAAGAATAAGTTAAAAGTTTAAAACCTATTATATAATGGTTGATAAATTTACATTTGCTGATTATTTTTTTAAAAAAAAAAAATATATTTTTATTAAAATGATTCTTTTTGGGGCTACATATTAAGGTGATAAATGATTAAAAATTGAGGCTACATATTAAACTTGAATAACTGTCAGTAATTAACTCACATGTTGAATGATTTGCAAGTCAATCATTATATCCGTAATTTGAAATATTATACTTAAATGCTTAAATTTATATATTATAATTAAATGCTTAAGATTACTTATTTGTATTGAGAATCATTATAATAATTTTTTTAAATTAACATTGATTAGCTTTTTATTATAAATAAAAGTTTATTATTTAAAAATTTAAGTATTAGTTGAGTTATTCTCCTTCAAAATTTATCATGTATATATTTTAAGATTAATTAATTGATAATGATATATGAATTACACTTTTTTTATTATAATAATTGTACTTTTTTATTATAATGATTTTACTTTTTATTTATATATTTATTAATCATGTAATAAAATTTGAAAATTAAAGTTGTTATTTAACTTTTTTATATTACCTTATATAAATTCATTGTCATAAATATATATAATTTTACATTTATTAAAATTATTTAATTATTTTATTTTTTAAATTTAGATTTTATTTTTAAGAATTTTATTTTTTAAATTTATGGTTATTAATATATATTTAATTTTTGATATTTAATTAATTATTTTTACACTATACAATAAAAGTATTCTTTTAAAATGAATTATATTTTAAATTTTTTAACTTTTTAAATCTTTATTATTTTGATATTCATAGTTATAGAATTAAGTTAAAATATGTTTTAAAATTATTGTTTAAGATATTTTTTATATGTAATTATTTATAAAATATAAATTTCATTATTTGATTATTAAATTATATTTATTACAAAATAAAAATTACTAAACTAGTTTATATTAAATTAGATCAAAATGTAACATATTTTATCTTATAAGGAGGATAGATAAATATATTAAAGAGAAAAATATAATTTAAGTATCTTTCAAAATAAAAATTTAACCTTATAATTTTTGAAATAATAATAATAATTTAATTAATTTTTTTAATTTTAAAAAACTTGTGGCTTTTTTTTCTTATTTTTTATTTTTTCTCAAACAAGTTTGATCTTCATAAAGTATTTCTATAATAAGATGGTCATTTTTGTTTTATATTCTCTGTCTAAATGTCATAATTTTTTATTTAATATTTCATTTAAAAATATCAAATGAAATAATATATATTGTAAATGAAATTTTTTTAAGAAATAAAAAAAGTAGTTAGTGAATTAAGGAAACAACAAGTTGTATGCTATGTTGGCAATAAGATACGAAAGAAGAGAAGGAGAGATAAGGAGGCTGTAAGGCCTACGGGTCGGTGGCCCCAAAGCATCATCTGCTAAGCGACACAGTGCATAATAGGGACATAAATTACCCTCCATCCATCACTTTGCTACTTCACCACACTATTATTTTCTTTTACAAAAATGCACAATTAACAAGGATCGATGAGAGGAAAAGACAAAATAGGGAGAGAAAAAGAGATATGGGTATGCGTATGGGTGGACAAGTATGCTAAGTATTATTTATGTAGAAGACATCAAATGATTGAGGAATAAGCAAGGGGGTAGCTAGCTATAGTGAAGCAAATTTTTATGCATTACAAAACAATAGCTAGCTAGAGAGAAGATGAGTAGGTATACAGTAGTAATGTGATATTGTTTTCTTCTCTCTTCTTCTCAGAATTGTTGCTGTCTCCTTTGATAAAATTCCTCTTGGTGTTTTCTGGGTTTTATCTGAAACCTTTCAAAGAGACAAGAAAGCAGGGAAAATCAAACATACATAGCTTCAGTCAGGTCCTTCCTTTTCTTCTTTTTTTTTCTCATGCCTTTTGTTTCTTTTCTTAATTTTATTTTATATATAATTTCCAATAGATATATAAGGAATTAAAAGTTTCTTTTATTTAAGAACTTTTCCAGATTTGTTCTCAACTTTTCAAAACAACATGGCTGCTGCTTCCTCATCCACACCTTTCTTGGGAATTAGACAAGAAAATCAAAGTCAGATTGCGCAACACCACCAATCCTCCACAGCTGCTTCCTCAACTACTACTACCACTCCAACAACAGTGCCTCAAAAGAAAAGGAGGAATCAACCTGGAACACCATGCAAGTAGCTCTATGCATTCTTCACTAAATTTGATTACTTAAAAGCATTTATATGTTCATGGAAAATGCCCCTTTTGTAATTTGTTGCTGGGTGTTTCTCTCAAGAAACAAACATCACATGGAAACCCTAAATCCTGAATATTAGTTAGGGCTGTCAAGTTCTTATACTCCTAAGAGGTTAGAATGGCCACGCTTCTTTCCTCTATGTTTATCTATAGGTATATATTAAACTTTTGTTTTAAGTTTTTTAATGATTTCTTAAGAACTATAAAAATATTTTTCTTTTTTTAAAATCTCAAATTTTCACTTTTTGGGCATATTAATTAAATTTAATTTCAGCATGTAATTAAAACATATAATTTTGCAACAATTTAATTAGTTGTTTGGCATTATTTTATTTATTGAAATTAATTGAAAGGGAATGGAAACACCAAACATGTATGCAGATCCAGATGCGGAGGTGATAGCACTATCTCCAAAGACACTAATGGCAACAAACAGGTTTATATGTGAGCTGTGCAACAAAGGGTTTCAAAGGGAGCAAAACCTACAGCTACACAGAAGAGGACACAACCTGCCTTGGAAGCTAAAGCAGAAGACTACAAAAGAGCCAAAGAGAAAGGTTTATCTGTGTCCGGAGCCCACATGTGTTCACCATGACCCTTCAAGGGCTCTTGGAGACCTAACTGGCATTAAGAAGCACTACTCTCGCAAGCATGGTGAGAAGAAGTGGAAGTGTGACAAATGCTCCAAGAAATATGCTGTTCAATCAGATTGGAAAGCACACTCCAAAACCTGTGGCACCAGAGAGTATAGATGTGACTGTGGCACCCTCTTCTCAAGGTAATTAACAACAACGTGCTCAATTACCTTAATTTCTAATATTGAATGTTTGGTGTAGCTAAAGTATCGTGTAAAGCAGCTTTTCAACTAAAAGCCTCTCAACTCAGCATTTTGATTGAACAGGAAATAAGATACGGATATTGTTACACTTAACATAAACAATCTCCATCTAACTAGAGTAAGAAAAATCAGAGTCTATGGGTTCTAAGACCAGTAGATTTGGCTAAGTCTTAAAATAAAAGAAAGAAAGAATGTTAGCAGGTAGCAAAGGAATATTACGTTGTAGTTTTTTTTTTTCACATATTTTTTCCTCTCTTTTCTTTTAATTACATGTTTTCTAAGATGTGTCAATAGGGTGTAATGCAAAAGGCGAATCGAGAATAAAATCTTTGTTTATGGATAATTAGAAGATTTTTTTTTGACACGATGTATACTTTGAGGTTTTGTTTGGATGGATAAAAAATTTTAAGAATTTAAATATCAATTTAATGATTTTTATTTTGCAAGAGAGAAAATAATAAAGGAAAAAAATGAGAGAAGAGTTGGTTTTCAGAAATAAAATTTTTAATTTTTAATTTAAATTTCAAATTTTCTATGAAATCAAACAAGGGGTGAGAGAGAAGTGAAAATTAAGAAAAAATAAAAAAAGAAAAGATAAAAAACAAGGCATGTAATAATATTAGCATTGAAAAGGGGTATAAAATAATCACAATTCTATCAAATTCTCCTAACAAATGATAAATTTGGGCAAGACCGTTCTACCTTTTTCTTGTGTTTGTTTATGTATGTGGATGGATGTGGCAGTGGCATAAGACTGCTCGCACGTGAGCACACTGTACAAAAGTGGTTCAAATTTTTGAAATGTTTTGAGAAGAAAAAACAAGGCAAGTTCAACTTTGTCCCTCGGGAACAACGCCCCTTATCCTTACTCCCATTCACGTGTAGTTAAAAGCAACAATGTAAAGGGCACAGGCCGAGACACAGTGATACTGGGTTTGTTCTCACATGACTTGGAATTGTATTGTTTTGTTTTGTTTCGTGTTGGATACATATATATATTTATACGTGGTTGGTTCAAATATGTTTTTCAGGTACATTCTTTGCCATGGGTACAATGCAAGATTCTTAATTGTCACACTAGCTTTTTATTTCTTCAAGTGATTTATGCAACAAATTCTCTGTATTAATGTTGCATATCTGTAGTTCATGTTTTTTTTTCTCTCACTGAATTTCCGAGAATTTAGCAACCCTTTTGTTGGTACGATCGTTTTCACAAGAATTTCTCAGGGTAGAAAGTGGACAACTCATGAGGCAGTTTGCATTTATTAAGCTGGACCCATACTGGTCTTATTATTATTGACTTTCATCAAATGTGTAAATAATTCTCTCCTTTCAGTGATCAAAGAGAGGACTCAAAGTGGTAGTTCGATAAGGAGTTGTTGGTGTGAATCAGATTTTGGCATAATCCACTGGGCCCTTTCTCTTTCTCATAGTTTTCTTAATTTTAAAATAGTAGATCTAATTTCATGAAAAGAAATTTCCAAATTAATCATTCAATGCTCAATTTTCTTTTATCCCCCCACATATACACATACATGACCCCTATGGATTTGATCGGCTCTATATTTTTATGTGAAACAACTATTTCCCATTTTTCGGGCATCATTGATCACCATCAAATTAAAGATCTTACTCTTTTATATTTCATTTTTCTTTTGGCAAGTATGAGATTTTTTGTGTGGTTATGATTGCATACTTGATTTTGTAAATTAGGAATATTCTTCTGGGAGTACTCCAATTATATGAATTTAACATCTATAGGGGACCATTTATGTTTAGTGTAGTAAGTCTTGGTGGTTGGATATATTTTCTCTTCTGAACTCACAAAACCATAAAAGCTACATACTTAACTTACACTTGATACTCGAATATTATTTATTAAATTCAATTTCAAATGGTACTGCGATAATATAGTTTTGGATTATTTCTCTAGTGCCAATTTGCATTTTACAAAAGATGCAGTCTATTCCAATATTATCTTTGGTGCAGGCGTGACAGTTTCATCACTCACAGGGCCTTTTGTGATGCTCTAGCCCATGAGAGTGCAAGACACCCCTCCAACCTGAACCCTTTGGGAACCCATTTGTATGGCACAAACCACATGAACTTAGGCCTTGGTACCCAACTTCAGAACCAAGCCTCCACTAACAGCATATTGAGCCTTGGCAGTGCACCAAAGTTTGAGCATTTAGTCTCACCCAATCTGCATCACTCTTCATCATTTGGAGTACAGTCACCCCAATCATCTTTCTTCATGACTGACCCAAGTCAAGCATTTCACGACCTCCAATCTCAGCAACAAGGATCATTATTCTCAAGCAATAAGCAACTGCATGGTCTTATGCAACTTCCTGATCTTCAAGGAACCACTAATAACTCCACTTCTGCATCATCAGTATCTGCTAATTCAGCTAATACCAATTTCTTTAACCTCAGCTTCTTTCCAAATACCAATAGCAGTGGCAGCATAATCAATGATCAATTCAACAACTTAGGTGGAGGTAACAACCAAGGAACAACAACACTCTACAGTACTAATAGCCCTGTAAGTAACCAGGTTGGGTCAGGCTTGTCTTCACTCTTTGGCAATTCATCAGTGCAACAAGAGAACATGTCCCCTCACATGTCAGCCACTGCATTGCTTCAGAAAGCTGCTCAAATGGGTTCAACTACAACCACCAATGGAGCAGAAGAATTAGGTGTAAGATCAAGCATGGAAAATATGCACAATAATCATCTACGTGGATTGATCAACTCTCTTGCCAATGGAAACACTTCCATATTTGGCAATGTGAAAGGGAACGAAAACAACCTTAGCCAGTTTCATAATGTGGTAGAGGAGCCCAAAAAGTTGTCACAAAATCTTGGTGTGTGCTTTGGAGGATCTGATAAGTTGACGTTGGACTTTTTGGGTGTTGGAGGAATGGTGAGGAACATGAGCAGTGGTGGGTTTTCACAGAGAGAGCAGCAACACTCCATGGGTACCATGACCCCCTTGGATACAAAGTTAGAATCAGCACAAGCAAACCAACCTTATGGAACCTCAACACTACAATGAGTTGGGTAAGAGATAAAAGTCTACTTCAATAATTTCTAAGCTTTAAAAGAATTAATTTCTGTCTGTTGAATCTTTTGGTTCATATAAAAAAAAGTCGGGTAAATTAATTAGGCAATTAAAAATATGTTTATTATTTATAAATGTATTGGTTTAAACTTTTCTTATTTTTATCTTTATTTTCCTTGAAGAAAGTCTAATTGCCTGTTCGTACGTTAGGGTTTCAATTCTAAAATATGCAATATTCCATGTATTTTTCTTCAAACACATGTGTCCCTTACCCTTTTCACTCCCTTAATTTCTCTAGGGAAATTCCACTGTCTTTGACATTGACAGACATCTAATAAATTTACTGTTGCATTGAATTTCATGACCCTGGGTAAATTAAATTACTACTAACTGTAAAAAGCACGTGGTAAAGACCAGGTTCTGTACAATAATCACCAAAAACGAGGAAGCTGGCTCTCACTTTCTGAGAATCTTCACATGTTGGCTATATTCCAGGGGAAGCGACAAAGGCTAGCTGATTTCAGTTCAGTTGCATTATTCTCCTTTCATGATATATAATATTGACTAAAAGGTGTTCAAATTTCAAAAACAAAACTAATTAAGAATTTTGCTTGTCTACCTAATACCATATGATGTTAAGGTTTTGTAACTAAGACAAACACAACGTGACATAATTTTCAGGTACTTAATTCTGTTGACATTCTTATTCTTAACAACGACCCTTTTGCATTTTCATCTAAATATTCCTCACCATGTTGACTATACCTTTGAAATTTTATTCTCTTTCAACTGCTTGCATGATAGCATCTACTGTAGCGTACTTCTTTAGTCGTTAGGGTTAGCTCTCACGTCATTTATTCAATTTCTGAATGATTTTTGGGAAGGTGATGAGGGTGGTGGCTGACCGTACTGTATCCAGCAGAAAAAGTAGCCTGTAATGTTCGTTATAGTAATTATAGGTAAACACTATGTGACACTTATGTCGCATGTGACGCCGTCTGATTCCACATACGCGAATCATTTAGTCCCAGACCCATAAAAGCGTCTCACGTTACATCCATAACATTAATATCTTTTTAAATAAAGTTAATTTACTTTTGTTTTTATATACTTTTTAGTTGATTTTAATTTTCTAAAAACTTTTTAAAATATAGTGTGTTATTATTTAGTAAGTATGTTATGCCACATCATATCTTGTTTTAAAATAATCGTGAATAAAAATGATAATTTATGTGTCGTGTCTATTAGTTGATGATAAAATTTATTTCAATTGTTTTCAAAATTTACAAAATTAAAATTAACTAATTATATCACAAATAACTTACTTGAATTATAACCTTTGATTTAAGAAAGATAAAAGATATCTTTTAAGTTTACGAGCATGATAGTAAAAACCTAAGGATAAACTTTTTATGGCATTGTTGTTTATTGTTGGAATGATCCATCACAGATCCAACGGTGCTTTATGTTGGAGATGGAATAAAAAGTGGAGATGAAAGAGGTCGACTAAAGTCAAGTATAAGTGAACAACGGTGCTTTATGTTGATTTGATAACACATCACCTCAATTAAGAGAGTTAAAAAAAAAAACAGAAAAAATCAATTGTTCAAATTCGTAGAAATTCAAAAAAGGCTAGGATCAACTTGATTGAACCATTAAAAGTTAAAATGATAAAAAAATTATTAAATTTAATATTTTTAACTGAACACAAATATGAATTTAGAGCATACTTAACATTAATTTAGTCTTCTAACTTATTTAATTTACTTTAATTCTTTAACTATAAAAATTTTTAATTTGATTCTCTAATTTTTAATCATACTTCAAATAGCTTTTTTTTATTATCTATATTAACTTTGTTAATTTCTTATCTTTTTTGTTGAGCACTATTCATAAACTTGCTCCTCTCTCCACCTCCTTCTTTGTTAAGTTCTTATCTTTTTAGGTATAATACTTGAAGTGGTTCACTAAAAAGATGATGGTGTGAGGCTCGTGGTTCCGCAGGTTAGTCTACGATGATTGTAGCTAGGATGAGTCATGGTCCACCGATTGGGCTTTTGTTTTTTTTTCATGTTAGTAATGGTGGTTCTATGACATTATGTAGTGTGATGGACTTAAATGTCAGTGACACCGTTGCGGTGGCTAATGGCGCATGGCTAAGATGGTAATGTAATGGAGGTTCTGGTGTGGTTGGGGAGCTTGGGCGCTTGATGGCTACTTGCTTATGCTTATGTGAGAGAAATGAGATGGAGGAGGAAGAAGGAGAAGAAGAGGAGGGTGGAGGGCTGAATATTATCTAACAAAAATAGACAAAAATAAAATAAAATTAAGGGAGTTTACATAATTAACAGAAAAAGGACTTAATCAAAACTTTTTAAAATAAAAAATTAAAGTAAAAAAGATATATAAAAGTATAATTTTACCAAATCTTTATGATATTAAATCCTTGAAACGTTAAAAGATATATTTTTAATTTCAATTTATAACTAAATAAAATAACTTAGTGAATGTCATTTAAAAGAATTTAATTTCATAAATTTTCAGTACCCAAATTTTAAATTAAATAATGTTTAGAAATACTAAATTATTTTTGTTTGTGCATTTTAAAATAAATTATATTTTTTATTAAATACAATTTAAGATAAATAAAAAATTTAATATTAAATTTTAATTTTAGAACGTGTAAATATCTACGTTTTCACTTAGTCATGAATTATCATAAGTAAAAAAGAAATTAAAGAGATTGATAATTAAGTAATACAATAATTATATTTAAATCAACCAAATTATCATAATTTAAAAAAATATTCAATTAATTAAGGATATAAATTAAAGTTTAAACATTGTTGGGGATAAGTAAATAATAATGGATAAAATTGAAAAACAGGAGCAGTATCAAGAATATTAAGATATATAGTGAAGTGAGTAATAAAGATACTTTGGAGTGTCCTAAGAAAGAAGGAAGGGACGGATCCTTGACACAGTAGGATCTTTAACCATCGAATAAGGAATGACAAATTAAGTCTTATCTTGTCTAGTGGAGCTAAAGATAATCTACATACAAAAAGACAAAGAGAAGGTGTTTTATGAAGTCAGAAGAATGTTGCTTCACTCAATCCTATCCATGGTTATACCTAGGGATAGAAATAAGTCAGACTTTTTTAATAAATAAATCAGGTTAAAGTTTTTTTTAAGGTCTGTTTAAGTAAATAAGATTTGAGTTATTTATAAAGTCTGTTAAATCTGATAAGTCAGCCTATATATATATTATAATTTAAAAATAAAGCTGTCAAAAAATATTTAAATAATAAAATTATTTAATAATATATTTTTTATATTTTTAATTCTGTTATTATTAAATTAATATATTATGTTATAATTTTATTTATTTATAATTATAATAAATAAAAATTATATTCTATTAAAAGTTAAAAATATTTATATATGATTACACTTTTTAAATAATAAATTTATTTAATAATAAATTATTTTATTTATTATATTAAAACAATTTAAAGAATAGTTAGGCCTTTGAACATAAATAAGACGTAATCAAAACTAAACCAAATAAAATTTAAAAATAAAATAATAAAATTATATTAACATATTTTTTATACTCTTAATTTTATTATTATTAATTTAATTATTTAATTATTATATTAATATATTATGTTATAATTCTTTTTATTTATAAAAAATAGAAATTGCTTAAATCTAAAGTATATTTTATTTGAAAGTAAAAATTTATAAAAAAATGATAACAAAATAAAATAAAAAAATTATTATAATATATATATATATATATATATATATATATATAATCAAACCATATAGCAAATAATATAAATAATATAATTATAAATAAATTATATAATAATATATATTTTTGTAACTTGCACGTGTTTTAATTAAATTATTAGTTAATTTATCAATTTATATATAATATATAAGTATGTGTTTTAATTTATTATATCAGTAATATTTTTTACATTACATTAATGTTATAATGTAGCTAATTTTATGTTTATTTATTAATTTAAAATAATAAATTAATGAAACAGATAAAATTAAATATTTTGTAATTATTTTTTTAATTTAATAGTTATTGTTGTTGTCATTTTATATATATATAGTACATTAAGTTTAAATTTTTATATTAAGTTTTATCATATATTTTTTAATTAAGATAAAAATTTAGAAATATAAGTTATTTTAATTTAAATATAAATTTTAATAATTCTTCCTATGCTCATATGTTATTTTCCTGCATCTATAAATTTTATAATATAAATATTTTTTATCTACAATTTTTATAATGACGATATTTATTTACTTTTTAAAATATAATAATTTTTTTAGCTGATTCAATAAATTTTGTAAGTGTTATTTTTTGTTATCAATTTTATGTGTTTACTGTGATTTTTTTTATTGAATATAAGATGTCTTTATACAAACAAAATATAATTATCATAAAAAATAATTAAAGTATTTAAAAATTTAATAATTTTATAAAATTAAATTGAGAAAAATAAAAATATAAAAATTTTATAATATGAAAATATTATAATTAATGCTTAAATAATATTTTAAAAATTATTACAATTATTTAATAATTATCAATAACACAAATAAAAATTTGAATATATATAAACTAATTTGATAATAAAATAATTATATTTTTATTAATATTATCTAATAAGAACAATCACTATAAATTTTTAATATTATACAAATTTTATTTTATTTTTTATCTTTTCTTAAGCAATTTTATTAGTATAAAATTTATAATAAAAAATTTCATTGATTATATTCACTACATCACAACAAATCACAAACTTAGCATAACCACATACTTCTGAATTAAACATGTTATTGCACTTATTTTTTATTCTTGTTTTATTATTATCTATAGTTACTTTGAATATAAATATAAGATAAATTATTATATTTGTTTGAACAAGCTAAATAACAGTAAAATCTTCGAATAAGATTAGAACGCAATCAAATTAAAGAAACTAATATTTAAAAAAATAATAATATTATTATATTAATTTATTTTTTATCTTCTTAATTTTATTATTATTAATATTTAATTATTATATTAATATATTATGTTGTAATTTTTTATTTATAATAAATAAAAATTATATTATATTCGAAACTAAAAATATTTATACACAATTACACTTGTTTAAAAAATAAATTTATTTAATCATAAATTATTATATTTGTGATATTTAAACAAGCTGAAGAAGAATAAGACACGATTAAAATTAAACGAATTAAAATTTAAAAATAAAATATTAATATTTTTTAATAAATTTTTCATATTTTTAATTTTATTATTATTAATATTTAATTATTATATTAATATATTATGTTATATTTTTTATATTTATAATAAATAGAAATTATTTTAATTTAAATTATATTTTATTTGAAATTTTTTTTATAAAAAATGATAAGAAAATAAAATAAAAAATTTATTATAATATATATATATATATGTAATCAGACCATATAGAAGATAATATAAATAATATAATTATAAATAAACTATATAATAATATATATTTTTATAACTTGCACGTGTTTTAATTAAATTATTAGTTAATTTATCAATTTATATAATAATATATATTTTTTATATTACATTAATGTTATAATGTAGTTAATTTTATTTTTATTTATTAATTTAAAATAATAAATTAATGAAACAAATAAAATTAAATATTTTATAATTATTTTTTAATTTAATATTTATTATTATTGTCATTACATATATATGGCATTAAGTTTAAATTTTATTTATTTTTTAAAAATAATAATTTTCTTTTAATTGATTCAACAAATTGTGTGAATGTTTTTTTTTTTTATCAATTTTATGTGTTTACTATAACTTTATTTGTTGAATATAAGATGTCTTTAAACAAACAAAATATGTTTCTAAAATAAAACTAAAATATTTACTATTTATATAATTTTTAAAAAATAAATCAAGAAAAATATAAATATAAATTTTATTAATATAAAATATTTATAATTAATACTTAAATAATATTTTAAAAATTATTTATAAAATTATATAAATATTATTATAATTATTTAATAATTATTAATAACATAGATAGAAATTAGAAAAATATATAAACTAATTTGATAATAAAATATTTATATTTTTATTAATATTATTTTTTTTGTAACATGCTTTGTTAATAGACTTCAGGCTAGGTCAAACCACTTAAACAGGCTAGGCCAGATCTAAAATAAAGCCTTTAACAGGTAACAGGTCAGGCTTAGACCTAATAATTATGTTACAGGTCAGGCCTGTTTAGAGTAAAGCTTGACCTGACCTGTCCTATTTTCATCTCTAGTTATACCCCTCAAAATGGAAACCAATGGTCTAAGACAAAAGGTAAGCAATAATCCGAAATGGTTAAGAATTTAGGGAAAAGAAGGGGCGAGACTTCACATCTTAGTTCATCGAAAATCATTAAACTCTAAACACAAAACCAATCTAAATCCATTTTAAATTCAATTATATAGATTAGATTTTAAAATAATCTAATTTAATCT